AAAACCATCAGGAAAAAAAAAAATACAACTAACATGCAGAAAAAGCCTTGGGAAACCTGGGCAAAGCTTATTTTGGATTGAAATGTTGAAGAGAGTGAAGAGCCGGAATTGTTTTAAGAAATCATAATGGACAGCCAGACAAATTTAGAGAACTTTTCATTTATTCCGGAGTTACATTCAAACGCTATAAGAAGACGACGGAAAGAAAGAACAAAACATACGAGAATTGCCAAATGTATTACCGGCAATCACTTTCATGACGCAAATACGAAGTCATCTGCGGTATCAAAAAATGAAATTATAATTGAGAATTTGACTCAGTCATTAATTTAAAGATATGTCTTGAAGGAGATAATTTCTTTATACATATGAAAAACTATCCGGCTCTTTCCTGATTCATCTGATAAAATTAACTGCCATAGTGCAAATTGAAGAACATAATTGATTATTTACTTTATTCCATTCTGTTAGTTAGTTACCGAAAAAGTTGGAAATTTTCAGGTTTCAGAACAGAACTATTTCACCAACAAATGATATAATGCAGACTGTTTCCTATCATAAATTGAAAAGGTAAACTTCCAAATGTATTATTGTAGCCGGCCAGTCATCTTATTCTATTCCCCTGTTCCCATATTTCGCAAAGAAGAAAATAGGCCGAAAGTAAAGAAAAAACCAAGCAGTTTCGGACAAATGGAGCTTTCCGACTTGGCCATTAACACCATTGAAATCTATTTATAGCAGGCAGTCAGTCTCGTCTCTCCAACAGACAAAAACATTAAGAGAGATCGTAAGCAAATCAAAGTCAGAGAGAGATATGGCTGCCTTAGCAAAAGCAGTAGTTGTATGCTTGATTGTCGCAACACTCGGATCTTTCTGTGCCTCCACAGAGATGTCCTTCGACTTCGACTGCACCTCAAAAACATTCAAGCACGGTGATGCTTATGGCCAGAATGTCGAAAGTCTTCTGGAAGAGCTTAAAACAATCACGCCAGTGAATGGCCATTTCTACCACCGAGCCAACAGAACGTATCCGTCAGTGTTTGGGACTGCACATTGTTTCTCTTCATTGACATCCTCTGAAGCTGCATGTGCTTCTTGCCTCCACAAAGCGATAAAGACTATAAGAGGTGAGTGCTGGAACACTGTTGGTGCCTCTGCTGGTTCGGCCGCTGCTGGTTGCAACATTCGATATGCTAGTTCTAAGATTAAGCCTTGATGGAAGAGAAGAAATTCTCGTGTGTTTGGAATAATTTCTTGATTCTGTCTGTTAAGTAATTGGTTTTCCGAGTCCTTGTTTTAGTTTGTTATCGGTGTATTTGATTCATTTGTTGCTTGGTGATGTTCGAGTCATAAGGTCGGTGATGACAGTTGCGAGTTATTTCCTAGTATCACTTATCTTTAATAATGTCCGTGTTCTTGTGCTTTTGTTACCCAAGTTTCATTTAATTTACAAGTAAAGACGAACCGAACTGCATTTCTTCAGGAAAAGAAAAGAATTATCCGAAATGCACGTTTGAGCTATTTTTAGTCGGAATTCAGCTGGATAAATGATTGTCTGTGGAAAATTCTGGTCCGAGGTAAAATGGCATATTGTTTAATTATGAAAAAAAATAGCTAATTGGGTTCTCATCAGCCAAAATAAGAAGAAGAAAAAAAAGATCGAGCATTCAGAATTATGCCATGCACACAAGTTCCTTGTAGTATCTTCCTCCATGTTCCTCCTGCGGATGAAATTAACCAGCTGAGGGAGGGGCTAATAATTCATTTGGATAGTCAATAAGCAGAGAACTAGCTTTGAGGGTACTTAAAGAGTCCTGATCATTCTGACTTGAGTAAATGAAATCGGATATTTGTTTCGAAATGAAATAATAAGGATTCTCTCTTTAGTCATGAGATCAACTGAAAGAGCACAAGATACTCCCACTCTCAAGCACCTTTCAGTTTTGCACTTCGATTCAGATTTTGAGATAATGCCAATTGAATTCGTTATTTAAAAATTGTAATCGGACAAGGCCTTGGAGAGTTACTCGGGGAAGAATGAATATGTGATTTATAATCTTGCAAGCCAGAATTTTATTCAACTAGTAACATGGACTAGTGTGAGGGTCAAAAAAAAATAAAAATAAAAAAAAAACCAAATTGGCTTTTTGTCGCTAAATTTACAGCTTACAGAATCATGAATGTTCAGCTCTATTAGTACATGAACATCATGGCAAATGCTTGCCTCGTCAATTATGCAACATTCTCAAGAATCGGATATTGAGAGTCATGTTTTTAAAAAGATAAAAATTTCACGCTTCACCTCAATCAATCAATCAATCAATACTATACCAATGAAACAAAAACCTGATTGCATATTTTTGCCACTTGGCATATTCTAATAGCTCTAAAATTTAATAACTATATATCTTTATTTCCACCCTTTCATATTAATCGACTATCCTACATATCTTGGGAATTTCTATTCTTTATCTTTCAATTCCCTACAAAATCATTGATTTTATTCTCACAATTCAAAAAGTCTTACTTTTGTCTTCTCTCCTTCCCCGAAATTCTAATATACATATAACAATATTAATTTAAGTGCATCGCATGGGTAACAACTAGTACTAAGCATAATCTACATGGCACTCTCATGCAATTTTTTAAGTTGGTCACAACTTGGACCTTTTAAAGCTATATATCCAGCTTGAAGCTTCAGGTTCCAAAAATAAACTTTTTGTTGTTGTTGTTGTTGTTGAGAAAAGCCTGATCTTGTCTTGAGCCTGAGAACACTTGAATTCTTTTAGAAAATTGAAACTAGCAAGCAGAAAAGACTCCTCATCTGACCTGCTCAAGGCTTAATGTTTGATACAAAGTTAAAAAGAGTGGATACTTGTTCTAGGCTTTAAGAAATCGTAATGGACAGCCTGACGAATTAAAAAAAAATTCGATACCTGATTCTATAATGCATGCCTTGTTCCAGCAATATGTTCAACTAATATCAGAAGACAAGAGAACAACAAATAAGAAGTGCCGAATGTATTACAGGAAACAACTTATGACGACATGTAACATATACAGGTTTACCTGATCAAAACTAACATCACTTAGTACAGGAAAATCATAAAATAGAATTGCGATATACGATTTGACTCGGTCAATTAAAGATATGCCTCGAAGGGGATCCTTTCTTTTATAAACCTGAAAAATATTACAGTCAGGCTTTATCCTGATTCATATGATAAACTGTATACTACTAATTGAAAGAACATTTGATTCTGTCTCAATTCTCCTTGATAAGTTCTCACACAACCTAAAAAGATTCCAATTTCACAAATAGAGGTTTTGACTAACAGTGGATTTTAAGACTAATATAAGTTTTCAAGAGCAAAGTGGTTTTCAAGATAACAATAGAAATCCTGAGTGGCATGATCTCATCCGTTTCAAGTGTTAGAGAGAATTGGACCCTATATAATTACCACCTAATTGGAGAAAATATAGATATCTCAGTGTACATAGTAAATGAAAACTTTGAGGTTTCAGGAAAAAAATGAAATATTTCAGGTTTAGTTCACATTAAAACTCTTCCTGATAGAGTTAGAATTCCAACTGGTTTTTAAAAAGAGAGAAAAAAAGTCAAATAAATTATTTTTAGCTGGCCAGTCAACTTATGACACAAGAGGAAAGAAGAATTAACCGATTGAAAGAAATACTCACCCATTTCCAGACAAATGGAATTATCTGACCGAGTTTTTCCTACTAATCAGGTCTATTCATATTAGATCGATCAAATCATCGCTTCAACAGACCATAACAAGAGAGATCAGAAACGTATCCAAGACAGAGAGAGAGAGAGAGAGAAATGGCTACTTTAGCAAAAGCAATAGTTGCGTGTTTGATTGTGGCTATGTTAGGTACTTCCAGCGCTTCCACAGAGACATCCTTCGACTTCGACTGCACCTCAAACACATTCAAGCATTGCGACGCTTATGGCTAGAACGTCGAAAGCCTTCTGAAGACCATCCCACCTGTGAACCGTCATTTCTACTGCCGAGGCAACAGAACATACCCGTCAGTGCTTGGGACAGCACATTGCTTCTCTTCATTGACATCCTCTGAAGGTCAGTGTCGTTCCTGCCTCCACGAAGCAATAAAGACCATAAGAGCCGAGTGCCGGAACACCATCGATGCTTCTGCTGGATCAGCTGCTGCTGGATGCAGCGTCCGAGATGATAGTTCTGAGATCAAGCCTTGATCGGAGAGAAAAGTGGCTTGTGTAGTGGTTTGTATGTTTGAAATAATTTCTTGTTTCTGTTTCGTTGGGTGTTGCTGAAATTTGTTGGTTATCAGTGAGGGAAGCTAAAATCCTAAGGTTGGTGATAACAACCACCAGTCAGTTACCCATTGTCCTGATATTAGTTATCTCCCCCGCTGGTGGTGTATCGTTTCACATTTGATGTGTTTTAGTTTTTTTCCCCCTATTTAAACTTGAAGTATATTCTATAAGCTGAAATGTTCAAACTCAAGTTATGGTTTGGTCCGAATCCAAGAAGATAATATGTCCAATTTGCGTTCCTAGCAATAATAAAATGGGACAATTTCATCCACTACACTATTTCTTCTATCATTAACAATAGACATGGAACAGTTTCATCCACCGCACTATTTTTCGATCGCACCATTTTTCAATCATCATACATGCTCTAAACAATCTGACTTGCACCACGCAAAGATCAAACAAGACTACTGCGGCTAAATTTTCTGTAATTAGAAAGTAAATATAAATTACTCCCCTCTACTGGAAAAAATGGTGAGATAGAGTTCGCAACTTTCAGAAGAATTTGAAGTTCAAATTTTCTGCTAAAGTCTCACGTAGAAGATCTGGTCCACAGCAGTTGATTCATGATCTATATCAATCAAGCAAAACTAAATAGAAAAAGGTGATTCAAAGCCTTTTAACTGTGCTCAAGTAGGTACAAAATGATGTTTGCTAAGCCGAACTATCTTCATCTTTCTCATGATTTATCAACTCAAAAAGATATTTCATTGAAGAATAGTAAGATGAAAGTGATTACATTACTGATTACATGAGTATTGTCCCAATATTTAGATTACAGAGAGGATCTGAGAGAAGGATTTGAATCTCGAAAACTACATAGTATACAACTACGTGGTACACAAGCTCTACTAACTTCTTCCTCCTAAGCTTGTACCTGTTTAACAAAAACCAGGACAGAGGCATCAGGCAGAGAATGGTAAAATGCCATAGCTGTAAAAACAGAAAGAATGATTCATAGGTATCAGAAATAGTCTATTATATTTCACATTAACTACAAAAGGGAAGAGAACTGAAAATAGGTATCAGAAATAGTCTATTATATTTCACATTGACTACAAAAGGGAAGAGAACTGAAAATAAAATAGAAAACATTAAGGGTGTGTTTGGGAACTTGGATTTGGGCCTGGATTTAAAATCCAGGGTATTTCAAATCCAAATATTTAGTTTGGGTTCTAATTTAGACCTAGATTTTAAATCAATTAATTTAGCAAAGAGGAATTTAAAAGCCCAAAACAACTGATTTCAAATTCCACCTCACACTTTGTCATTTATCAAATCCCGACCCGATCATTTAACAAAGAGGACCAAGTCGCGATCCCCTCTTTCTCTCTCTCTCTCTCTCTGGTTTCGATCTCCCCCTCTCCGCCTCCCCCCGCCGCCGCCTCCCCCCTCCTGCTGGACCAATCTCGATTACAAGTTCGATGCTGTTCGATACTTCGATTTCAGTAGAGAGGGGTCGTTTGCTGAAGCTTGGGAGGCTCAGCTGTGGTTCGAGACCGCCGGAAGTTATCCCCCTTCTCGTACAAACCCTAACTTTATTGATCTTTGCCTTTTTATCGTTACGTTTGAAATTTAGGGTTTTTGATCCAGTGACTGTTTATTGGCTTAGTTTTGCTTAATATTTGGGTTTTTCTTGAATTTCTTGCCTTTTATTCTTTATTGCGGAAGGATTTTGTGTAAATTTGACGAGAAAGCGATAAAGTTTCTCCCCCCCTGTAAATGTTTAATAGGTTATTATTTGGATTATATAGGTTTAGTGGATTATGTCCAGTCTCCACCCTCTAAGGCTGAGAGCCTAAGGACCAATTTTCTGAGTCCAGATAGTCTTGCGAAGTGGCATTATGCAGAAAATCGCAAATCAAATTCAATAAATTAAGATGGGAATTCAGCTGCATATTACGTCATTATTGGAGATTGAAAGATGCTCACAAGAATATAGATGGATCATAGAAGTAGATAAACTGCACTGTGAAGTAAAAGTATACACATAGAAGTTATTTTTATATCTTCACAAAAACTTAATTCTGATGCTCTACATTATAACTATCATTTGTATTTATAGAGATATTAAACGTCCATGTTTGCCAATAGAACAATCTGCAAGTGCCATTGTACTGATGGGAACTCTTTGATCATTCTGGTTTGTGTGCTTTTTTCTTTTCAGTAAGAACTCCAAGCCGCAAATTGAGCACTTCTTCAAGCTCTTCTGATTGCCTTCTCATCCGTCAACAATTGCAGGTAATTTTACTGTTATTTTAATTTTGTTATGTCGTGATTTCTTATTTTGGGTCATAGGAAACTTACATGTTTTGATGAGTAATCGGGTTAATAAACTGAATATATGAGTTCTTGGGTGTCGAAAGAGATATATATGTAAATATGTGACAAATATACACACATATCCAGCATACTTTTTCACAAAATAAAAGTTAAGAAGAGAAACACCCAGATCCACGTTCATGTTCCATAAGAACGCGTTTCAACAAGTTTGTCAATTGGATAGAAAGATTACCGTACGTCCAACCCTAACGACTATCAGGTAGCGGAAATGTATAGAATCCAAACTTAGGAATTCGCCTTTTCCATCCACAATGGGAATTCCTAATATCATGCATAAATGTCTTAAAAACTTGTTATCAATTAGAATCGTGATAGGTCATTTACATCTGATAGTTACTAGTATGAAACCATCATGCATGCTCAACTCCCCAGCTGGAGTTAAAAGTACTAGCATTTGTTATCAATTATAATCTATACTTATGAGTTCTCAAGATAAATTATGTCATTTATTGAGAATAGAACTGTTGAAAACTTGCTATTGCAAGTCAAACAGATGGGATTAGGTTGAAAAGTCCCTCAAATATGTTTTAGACTGACTTAAAGTCCCCTCAAATATGAGTGATGTTTTGACTACAAATAAGGCCATTCACAATCAAGATTAAAAATAAATACAAGACAATGCAAGTATTCTTTTCCAAGAGCCCAGAGTGTTACTATGGATATGAACAGCAAATCAAAAAACCAATTTTGGAATTTATGCAATCTTTAGTGTCATTTTGGAATTTGCGGCTGTCCTAAGTCACACCGTACTTCAAAAACCACTCCACTTCAACTATCTTGGCTTGCACACTAAATATCCACAATATCAACATAATTATGGATGACTCTGATTGATACCAGAAAGCAAAAACACTTGCCTTTTGATACTTTCTTTGGCTTCAACTCCACCATTTAAATTCTCAAATTTTTATTAAGTTACCTTACAAACATCCCAGGTCCTGCTACTCTGAATCTTTAAATCCAGAAGCTTCTCCATTTTCCACTTAAAACTTATTCTTTCTCTCAGCTCATTTACTGATAAGATAGCATAAGTCAACAACAAAAACATAGGAGCCTCATCCTGTATTTGCTTCATAAATTAAAATTATCCATGAATAAAGGGCTTAATGCCTGTCTTTGATGTATATCTATGGTGATAGGTAAAGTGAATCTATATTATTCCAATAGCTTTCATGCGAGTTACTCCTTTTCTTATGTAGCCTTGTCTCACCAGGTGCTATTGTTTCTCTTGTCCAAATCCTTTTACGATCATATCCAGTGTGCTTTTCTCATAAGCAGTCTCAGGCTTTTCTAATGCTAACGTTATGGCTTTTTTTTGCAGGTCAAGCGTGATATTGTGCTGAGAGTGCTTGTGCTTTGGTCTCACCTTTTTCGGTTCTCATTGTCATTTGATATAGCTTGCTGCTTTGTCGAATGATTGTAGCTAATATGTAAGGGTTAATTGCATATACTCTCTGTGGTATCGTTTTTAAATTGCAACCCCTGTAGTGTACATTGTTGCAGATGTGCCCTTGGGTTAAAATTGTGACTGTTTTACCCTTGGACTTACTAATTTCTAGCTAAAGTCAAACAAAAGGATATTGGATTCGGTTTGATGTTATTTGGGCCTTCTCTGTTCTCTGAGCTTATTGCCAGAAGTAGAAGGAATTGTTTTTGTATGTTGACAAATGATTCTTGTGAAGTTTCTTATTTTTGGTGTTTGCATTGGTGAGCTGATATATTGTAAAGGTGGTTGTGCTTTGGTCTCACCTTTTTTGTTTCTCATTGTCACTTGTTGTGGTGTTTGCTTCTATGGTGAATGATTGTGGCTTATAGTATACTCCAATATATTGGCATCTGATGGTTTGTGGTTTGGTACATTTGCTCTTTTATTGGATGTCTTTGTGAAAGATACTAGTGGAGAGTATATCAAAGTGATGTCCAAGTACGTTAACGGAAAAAATTGAAAGATACTTATTATATGAAGTGTTTTATCTGTTTGCTGGGGCCTCGCAAAGTATCAGAGATGAGTTTAGCTATCAAATTACCTAAATTTGTGTTTTTTTGTTACTATTTTACACATCTCCATTGCATTTGATGTAAACAAGATGGGTTAAGAGAATAAATTTTCATCAATTTTAAATTCAAATTCATGTATAATAAAGTACCCAAACACTAGATTTTGAAATCAAAGATTTCAAATCCTTTCATTTAATAAAGATATCCAAACAAAAGATTTTTTAAATCATGGATTTCAAATCCTAAATTTAAAATCCCTTGATTTTAAATCAACTTTCCAAATCCAAATCAAAGTTCCCAAACGCAGCCTAAACAAAATATTACTTATTGCTGCTACTTGGTTTGCAATCATCTCTAGACCCCAATGACTTTCCAAAGACTGAAAAGGATGAAAAGATTAGAGAGAGAGAGAGAGAGAGAGAGAGGAGAGGGGGGGATGCTAAAATAGATAAAGGGCAGAGAGATGACATGAGGACAAAACCATCGTGTTTATTACAATATTTAGGTTCTAAACCATATCCATCTAATTGTTTAACGACTAATTTCCTCTTAGCCTAATTCCAACTAGATATCAGAACACTTCCGAGGCCAATTTATCGATAAAAATAGAGTACTAGTAATGATAATCATGATGACAAATGAATCACAAGTCATAACCTTTTCATAAAATTAGCACTGTTAGTAAACAGTATATCAGCACTGTAGATGCCACTTACAAAGGATTAGCCAATCTATAGCACTGCATACAGCATGATGTGTGCGACAATGTGAAAAGGTAAAATACTACAGTGGTGCTAGTAACATGGTAAAGACTACATGTTCTTTTTTATTCTCTACTTACATCAAGTATTAGGTTTCCTTCATATATAATGTACAACCCATCAGTATAACTTTTTGGACAATCTAGTATTCCGATAATATTGAAGTAACAACTTCCAAGAGGATGGGTTTCGAACATCATTTTAAATGTGTTTATTTACCATGATTTTATTCTTCCTATCCAATCGAATCATCTTTATGCCAGATGCCTTGCCACCTATGAAGCACGGACACACATAACATGAAGCCGTATCGTGTCGTGTCCGTGTCGGACACATGTGTCGATAACGCGTATCCTATGTATTTTTTAGTATTTGCCTCGTGTCGGCGTGTCGGATGGTCGTGTCGGATCCGTGTCCGTGCTACATAGTTTGCCACTAGGGGTGGCAATTTATGACCTAACCCATCAACCCGACCCGACCCGACCCGACCCGTTTATAATGGGTATAGGTCGAGTTACATGGGTCGGGTCATAAACGGGTGAACCCTTACTAACCCATTTATTAGATGGGTTGACCTACCTGACCCGCCTGACCCGTATAACATATACACAACCTAAAAACCTGTATAACACAAAAATCTCCGACTGAACCTTCATCCCTCATAACCCGCTGTAGTGAGAGAAAAAAAGCCCTAGATTTCCATCACTAAGCTCGAGCAGCGAGCGGCGGCGGGCGGCGATTGAAGAGAGGTGATGACGAGTGACGGTGAGCAAACGGAGGCAAGCGGCGTCGAGTGGCGAGCGCCGGCGAGCGGTTAAAAAAATTCCAACTAAAATAGCGGTGCATCCTTACATCGTTGAGTCTATCTTCTGTCTCTCAGCTCAAAGAATCCGAAGGTAAACCCTCCTCCCAATCCCCATTTCCGATCTCTAGGTCTCATAACCCCCCCCCCCCACAAATTTTCAAAAAAGTTAGTTACTCCCATTTTAGATAAAGCTGATGAACCTATTAAACCCCACAATTTGACATCTTTGATCAAGATCAAAGTCCTGTTCTTGGCCAAGGCTCGAGATCTCACCGGCTCAAAAGAAATCCCCCTCAAATTACCCGCTGGTAGAACTGCAGGGGATTGCATGAGTAAGCTTTTGACCTAATTCCCCCAGTTAGGAGAGATTTATGATTCTATGGTTTTGGCTTTGAATGAGGAGCATGCGTCTGAGACTGCAATTTATAATTCTCATGTTTATCCTCAGTAGTCAGTGTTTGTAGGAAAAATGAGTGACGCCCCTTTCTTCTAAATTGCACTTAAATGTCACAAAATTTTCTCGCTCTATTATTTGTATATTACAAGTTGTATTTTGGCTGGGAAAAAAGGTATAAGTTACTAAACGGGTCGTTCGGATTATATGGGTCGGGTCGGGTAACCCGTTTAATAAACGGGTCAAATCGCATTGACCCATTTATTAAACGGGTCGGGTCGGGTCACACTTATAGGGGTCGGGTCAATTATGACCCGACCCAACCCGTTTGCCACCCCTACTTGCCACAGGGCTCAGAGGCCCAATTCACAATAGTATTTTTGTTAACCATTCATCATTCCTCCAACTGCTCTTGAAATAAAGCTCAATAACTACTTGTAGGTCTAAATCATTATGGATAACAAAAAGAAGATTCATCCCATAACTCATATAGTCCACAAAATCTTTATTATTAGTTTATTAATATGGAAATAAAAATTATTCATTAGGAATACAGAACATCATAGAAAATAGTACCTGTTTGAACTGCATAGGGAAAAAAAGCCATGTGTAGGTCAGATGACTTTGCCCGAAAAGGCAATGTAATACTAATCAGTGAGGGATTGGAAGGTGCTCTTTGGTTCGTCATACATCCATCTGCAAAAATAATTATGTTAGAACATATGCAGTGCCCCAAAAAGGGGGGAAATGGGAGAAAGAAAGTCTATGAATTATGTGGGTGATAAGACGCATAAGGCTGAAATAGAGCAGCCCTCCCCCCCCCCACTCAAAAAAAAGAGGCGCCCCAAACAAAAAACAAAAACACACGTACAAAGCAAAGAGGAAAGGGGAAAATGGCACTTCAGAAAATAGATTTTTATTGTAGCAAGAAAAAGTGAAAACACACAGAGACAATAAAAAACACCAGTAGAAAAGTGTAAGCACCATATGATTCACAAACTCATCTCTCCATAATCCAACTGATGATCTGATCCATTTACATGCATAAACTTTAGCCATTCGGCTAATAAACCTGTTCTACAATTAGACGGTCTTATCTGCAATTATGTTGTTCCAACAATAAATCATCCACCTGCTATAGGGTTTTATTAAGAATTGTTGCAGTGATTTATCTGAAATGTTACAGAAGTTCCTATATAACTGCTAACAGAACAATATCATCTAAAGATCTCTGGAAGCAAGAACCTGGACAAGAAAATTGGATGTAGACTGCTACTTGCATCTTTTAAATGTGATCTCCTGTCTACTTCTTCTCTATACTTTTGCATTGACATAACTTCGCACAAACCACGTATCAAGCTAGCTGATATAGTACTTTCCTTATTTGAAGCATACACCTGCACCAATATATATCATATACAATTTAATAAGAAGGAAAAGCAAACCAAACAGAACTTCTAAAATTGATAACATGAGAGAACAAAGTAAAGCACTAGAATCACTGCACGGAATTAAAGAACAAAGAGCATATGGAATTTTTTGTTTTGTGTACATTCCAACTTTGTTTAATAAGAAGGAAAAGCAAACCAAACAGAACTTCTAAAATTGATAACATGAGAGAACAAAGTAAAGCACTAGAATCACTGCACGGAATTAAAGAACAAAGAGCATATGGAATTTTTTGTTTTGTGTACATTCCAACTTTGTTT